CATCTGCGAGCTACTGCTATTCGTCCAAGGTTCACCGCTCTTCATCCTTTTACAGAAAATACTTGTGCAAACTAGTAATTCTACTTTTCTTATTTCTGGGTGGTATTGAGCTTCATCCTGGCCAAATGAAAGAACTCGTATAATTCTGTAGATTTTTCTGGCAGGAAAGGTGTTGGTGTTCTACATGTCAACATCAGAGGGCTTGTGATTAAATTACGTCAACTAAAACTAGAAGTGGCAAATCTTGACCCGGACATTTTTTGCCTAACAGAAACATTTCTCACTCCTGCCATCAATGACTTGCAGATTGCAATTGGCAACTACAACCTTTTTCGGCTTGACCGAGGATCTAAAGGAGGTGGAATTTCCATCTATGTTCGTAATACTATTGCATGTTAACTAGCTCACTACTTGTTTAAAAAATGTTGCTTTGAAGGTCTGGCTCTCAAAATGACTCTCCCAAATCATCAACAGATATTGCTAGTGTGCAGATATCGACCACCTAGTGGGAAGGATGTTGAAGCTGCATCTGCACTGAGAGAGCTTTTTGGGGGCCTCCCTAAAGGTGAAATAGTTTTAGTGGGTGATCTAAATTGGAATTGGCTAAACCCGCCGGCCGTGGCCACAAATTTTGCAGATGAATTTAATCTGTTTCAATTAATAAATGTCCCCACAAGACCCAACCTAAAAAATCCGGGACAATCATTTCTGCTTGACGTCCTATTGACAAATGCCCCTCACAATTTCACACTGACTGGTGTTCTGGGCAATAATCTTAGTGATCACTCCTTCATTTTTTTGGTGAGATCATCAGCCAGACCCAAAGCCCCCCCCTAAATTGGTTGAGAAGCACTCTATGAGACACTTCAGCACTCAGGCATTTACTAATGATGTGCTTCACTCGGATATTGACATGGTCTGTGATATTCACAACCTGACTACGGCTTGGGAGACTTTCAGGTACACGTTTCCCCAAATACTTAACAAATATGCTCCGTTGGTTAGATTTAAAACTAAAGGCAACCACCCACCATGGTTTGATCCTTTGATTACAAAGCTCATGAAAACTGGGGACAAGGCTTGGGCATGTGCTCAGAAAAGTAATTCGGTCAATGACTGGCTAGAATACAGGATTTTAAGGAATAGACGTGTCAAAAAAATACGGCATGCACAAAATGCCTACTTTTCCTCCACTCTCCTGGAATCACATGGAAATGCCAGTATTTTCTGGAAAACAATCAAATGTATCGAAAAGGCATCCAAAACAAACAATCTGCCCGTTGAGCTTAACCAAAATGGGGAATATTTTTCAGATCCCAAAAAAATAGTTGACAATTTTCACCTTCATTTTTCTGAAGCTGGTAATCTTTTTGATAATGTATTGGGAGTCACCCCTGCTCATGCAAATTCTGACACCCCTGTCCAAAAATTAAACAAATTTAGTTTCCAGCCAATCCACGAAAGTAATGTTCTGAAACAACTGACCTACCTCAAAGGGTCCTCCTCTACCGGAGCAGATAGTATTCCCGTCTTTGCTCTACTAACTGTTGGTCACCTAATATACAAACCTATAGCCCATATTTTCAACCTGTCCATCAAAGAAGCATCAGTTCCTCTAGAATGGAAACATTCCTATGTCCGTCCACTTCAAAAAGGGGCCCTAAAGATGATCCAAATAACTACCGACCTATCTCAATTTTGTCCACGTTGATGAAAATTTTTGAAAAATCATTGACCTACCAAATTAGCAGTTTCCTGTCCACCAACAATCTACTACATCTAAAACAATCTTGGTTCTGAAAAAAATACAGCACCACATCTGCTGCATTAGACTCTCTGAATCACATTTACAGTAGCCTTGATAATAAGCAGTATTGTGCCGGTCTTTTTCTAGACCTGTCCAAAGCTTTTGATACAGTAGACCACAACACCCTGTTTAGTAAAATAAATTGCCTCGGTTTTCTGAAAACGCAGTAAAATGGTTACAAAATTACCTATTTTCTCGCACCCAAACTGTATTCACAGATGGTTGGAGGTCAAACAGTGTTAAGATAACAAAAGGGGTTCCACAGGGTTCCATCCTCGGCCCCCTTTTGTTCTCTCTTCATGTCAATGACTTGGGCACTGACCTGGATCATTCCAGGGTAAATCTTTTTGCAGATGACACGATGCTGATTACTGCTGGCTGCTCTCCAGATGACGTGAGTGCTAAGCTACACGGTGATTTCAACAAACTACAACATCAGCTAGTTGCTCTTAAACTAGTCCTGAATACTTCCAAAACCAAGGTGCTATGCTTCTCACCAGGACTAAAGCAGGAAGTTATTTTTCCCCAATTACATTCCTTAAATAATTATCAAATAGAGGAAGTCAAGATCTATAACTATCTTGGGGTCATCCTGGATTCAAAACTGAATTTTGAAGATCACATTGATTATATAGGTAAAAAGACAAATAAAAATTGGTTTTCTGTATCGACACAAGCACTGCTTCCCCCCAATGTTCCGTTTGGAATTGATAAAAGCTACCATACTGCCTCTATTTCACTACTGTGACATCGTGTATAAATCAGCCCCAAGTACTATACTGAAGAAGCTTGATTCCATCTATCACTCGGCCTTAAGATTTACATTGAACTGCCCATATAGGACTCACCACTGTGATCTCTACATTAGGTCAAACTTAACATCTGTAAATGTTCGACGGCTTGTGCACCAGATCTTATTTATTCACGATGTACTTACAAAAAAATCCACAGACTACCTGCTGGATCTCTCTGTTTCAAAGAACAAATTTGACCTCAGGTCTTCGCTCATTTATCAGCTTCACATTCCCTATTGCCGTACAAAAACTGGAGGAAGGGCCTTTGCTATTGATGCCCCCAGGGTCTGGAATGCTATTGCCAATACACTGCAACTTGATTCGCTACCAATGAGATCTTCTCTTAAAACTGCTCTAGAGGAGTTGTACACCCCTAGCTGCCACTGCTATTCATTGGCGTAAAATAAAATAAAATCTTTCGCTCCGGATGACGCTGCAAAGTATTATCTGTATTTTGATTTAGTGTGCTGATCTTAAAGGTGCATTGAAAAATTTGATACTCCGACTGATGCTTCTGTTGTTGTGGAGTAACTCATGCAGCCAGCTATGGCTCTAGGATTTGGTGTTACATGTTATTTACGTAGTTTATTGTAAAAATTCGGTCACAGTCCCTGTGATCACTGTTACGTTGTAATTATGGCTTTATTTTTTGGTGATTTCGAAAAGTTTTTTGGTTTGGACATATTGTTTTGTTGTAGTACGGAGTTAGACTCATGGGCTTAATCTAAGTTTTCTTGTGGTTGTTGTTGTTTGACTTGCATCCCACTGGGATTTTTTGCACACAGCGTTGGTGTATGGAGCTTTTTTCAGGAATATTTTGCTGTTTTTTTGTCATGGATTTTCTGTTTGCACAGTCACATAGTTACTTTAAGATGTTTTTCTTGTTCGTGTTTTTGTTTTTTTGTTTGTTGTGGTTGCACCCGATTCAAGAGCCGAATGGCTCACAGGGCTATACCAAAATAAATGAACTGAAAAACTGAAAACTGAATATATTATCAGAGCGTGTATGTTTGCATGTTCACCACAAGTACCGTGTGTGGATAATGCGAACTTGATTTCTTGCAAAAGTTTTCTACTTGGTATTTGCACATATCAATGCCTGTTTTTATTGCCAGAAAGGGTAAAATATGTATTTGCCATAATCCTTAAATTCATTTATAGCATCATTTGGGACGTGAAGTGGACATTTACAATAAAAACGTGCAATTGGCTTTAGATTGGTGATACCTGGCATCTAACCAGCACAGTGTGGTTTACAACGGTCTCGATCAAACTATTTATGAACTTCTCTTAAAGCAAGGCTACTTCTATATTTACAATGTGTTCTATATTTGCGCGCCACCTGTGACATTAACTTGAGTTTGTCATTTTAATTTCCCACTGTAACAGCAAAGCGCAATGTTGGCAAGTAAAAACACAACGGCAACAGAATTACCGTACTACCAAACACAATAAACTTACGGTTGTATTAGTACAATGAATCATACAGCAAAATAAAACATTGATGTTTAACAACTTGAATACACAATGCATACGTAACAAAAAAATGCGCGAAAACACCCACGGTTTCACAACTGTAAAATGCCTCGTTTTAATGATTCTACATCAAGGCCTAACTTCACTGGGAGTGCTGGGTAAATGTATAAACACGTACAGCCCGTTTGGCATTCTACTTCTGGATGAGAACCTCACACCACATGGTTCATGGTTGGTGGGGGGGAGCTTATTTGAACTTCTTCACCAGGCCGGTCAGTGCAGGTTGGTCATTACAGACAGCATCGACACTGGAGCATAGAAGCAGAGTACAATACAATTGATTTTGTTTCACATTTGTTCTCTGCCACTCGCCATGTAGCCACACAGACTCAATATAACAACCCGTTTGTGCGTGACGGTCACCCATCTAAGCACTCCACAACAAAAAACTCAATACATGATTGAACAACACTCGCTTTAAAAAAAAAGAAATGTATATATTTTTCACATGATAAAGTTAGATCGCGTAAATATGTGTCGTTAAACCCACCACCATCCGACACAGCCAATCGGTAAGCGTTTGTCACGTGAACAAAACGTACCAAATCGTTACTTGAGCACACCGGTGTGTACATCCACAGCATTACAATTTGAGTGCGATGACGTTTCGCTGGTAATTACAACCAGCTTCAAGTTGTATACTTGTATAGCAATGGGATGGGGACATTTCCCAAGCCATCGTCTTTAACAAAAATATTATTTCTACACGCTTTTATTCAACTCACTCTGTCTGTTGTTGTATCCTCAAATCTTGTAACTCAATTTTAACCCACTTCCCAATGTGGTATCGACTGCAAACTTGGTATACTTATGTCATACTGATGACAATACTATATTCTATCATAAAAAAGTATTTTTAAACATTAATTTTTTTGTTATGTTTCGGCTTGGGTCTAATTGTCCACGCTCAACTCACGTTGGCTGTAAATCACCACAGTCCCCTTACGTTGTGGCAAGCTTTGCGGCCACTTCGTGGAGTCGTGGAGGTCTGCCATTACGAGTACGGTACATTTCATTGTTTTAAAAAAAGTATTTTTTTAATATTACTTATTTTCTTTGAAGGCAGGGCTGTCGACGGAGGCGTTTAATGTGCTAGTTGCACACCAATACCAATGCAGCATCAGCAGCAGCACCATAAAATAAGTATGTAGGCACGATACTATAAATCCTGAGGACTTCCTCGGTGATTTCACCATCTCGACTGTTTCTACACAAGACCGTATACCGTACGGTATTGTATTTGCCAGATAGCGTGCAAATGTTTGCATGTCAATGATGGGATAGTGTGGAGTAACACTTCTATTGTATTTATATTTTAAATAACAAAACATCATATAGACGCATGTCATGAATATAAAACAAATATTTTTCTCCTTCATCTGACTTTAAATTAGGAATTTGGATCGTACAATTAAAGTATGATGTAACATATTTAAAGGTAGATATTTCAAGGCCTGCTCTGTTCTGCCTATGACTGCTTGCCCCAATGTACACATTTTGCTCACTCTTTCTGTACAGCATCGTGAAATGTGGTTGCGTTTAGATGCCATCCATTAAATCCAAATATCTTTAGTATAAAAGGACATTGACACGTACTGTATTTCATTTACATTGTTAAAGCTCAAATTGTAAAAAAAATAATCCACATTGGAGATAATATCATTTTTTAAACATAAGGGTTACGGATTGGGTTAGAGTTACAGGTTGAGATTGACCTATGGTTGGAGTTCGGATTGCTGGGTTCATGGTCCGACTGCAGAACAGCCCGGAGGCTGGCCCAGAACATTGACCGCTTGCCCTCCTCGGCTGGCCACTCCAGGTAAGTCTTCCTGTTGAGCAGCTTCCGAAGCCGGCAGAACTTGCTCGGCACGGAATTCCTGGGCAGCGGCTCCAGCAGCAGCAGCACCAGCGAGTCCTGCCGCTGCTCCAGAACCCGATGCTGCGCAAAGTAGAGCTCGTAGTGGCACCACTCGCTGTTGACAAAGTTCCGCGAGAGGATGAACAGGGTCTTGTTGGAATGCTCGATGCACTGGATGATGTTGTCCACGATCCACTCTCCGGGCGTGAAGTCTCGCTCGTGGATGCACAGCTTGAGGTCGGGGTTGGAGCTCTCTAAGGTGGGCACCAGGGTGTTCTCCACCCAATCCGAGTCCAGCTGGCTGTAGGAGATGAACGCGTGGTACTGGAACGGTCCTCCCGCACCCTGTTGCATTCTGCGCCTCTTAGCCGATATCCACACCGTGCCCATGCGTATGTACCAAATGGCGTCAAAGTAATACCCGAGACCCAGTATGAGGATTATGATGAAGGCTGTGATTCCAACGCTCATGGAGATGATGATCCTCTTGTCACAGGTTATAATGCTCAGGTTTAAGTCGGACAGAGTTCTGTTTGACAGCTCGTTGGGGTAGCTGCACCTGTATTCATTCGGCCAGTTCTTCAGAAGTTGTTTTTCAAATGTCTGCTGGAACCAGTAGAGATCGCAGAAGCAGTAATAAGGATTGTTTCCCAGGTAGAGGGTTTTGATGTTTTCAAGGCCCCTGAAGGTGTTTTCACCGATGATTCCCACGCCATTATTGTCCACATATAGAACCTGCAGCGACGGGGAGTACAGCTCGGGTAAAATGTACTTGATGTTATTGCCACTGAGGTAGAGCTCCCTCAGGGATTTTCCATCGTTGAGGATGTTCTGAGTGAACGTTTCGAGTCTGGTGTAGGAGAGATCCAGCACTTGTAAATATTCTGAAATGCAGATTTTGGAATCCTTGCTGATGTCGTTGTTGCGGAGGATCAGCGTCTCGAGAGTTGATGGCCATGCGGAGCACTCCTGGATGTGATTGATGCTGTTGTAACTGAGGTCTAAGGACTTGATATTGGGCATGACCACAACTTTTTGAGCTATCGTGTTGAGGTCAGAGAATCGGTTGTGGCTGATGATTAAATGAGTAGTATTTATTAAATTGTCTTTCTGGGGGCATTTAGGCAGCCACATTCCATCTTCCACAAGAAGATTGTTAGAGAAGTCTAAGATTTTACCGGGGAACGTCATGAACAAGCAATCGACTTTGTTTAAACCTGTGTTGGATAACTTGAATTTTGAAAAGTTGGGGAAAAGCGAAAACGGTATGTAAAATAGGGGGTACGTCATGGGCATGTGAAAAATCCCATCTATGATAACGGTTTCCAAGGCCGCTTTCCTTTCAGTGGGCAAATTCGGAAAAACCACATTGTCAAAGTCGGTGTACGATGAATTTGTCAGCGTAACTGATGTCACTTCAGACAGGTAGATATTTTTTAATAAGCTTACTATATCTAAATTGGTCAAATTCGCACTGATCAGCATGACATTTTTCAACAATGGACAATACGCGAGGCCACTGAATAAATCAATGCTCTGGTTATGTACTTGGTTGATCAATATGTTCATTATTGTAATTTCCGAAATTCGGGTCGTCCCTAGGTCGAGCAACATTTTCGACAAAATGGACAGATCGTCGTCAATTGAAACGTTTGTAAAAAGCTTCTCGAGGTGCGCCAAGTTGGCGAGAGCTCCTTGCTCGTAGGATTTCAGCGGGGACCCAGTGTTCAGCCACAAATGCTTCAGGGGAATACTTGATAGTGCTTGTAAATCGGAAGCGTGCAACTCTGACGTGTGGGATGTGCCGATGGAGAGTGACTGCAGCTGACTCATTCTGGAGAAGGCTCCGCCGAGGGCAAAGGAGGTGTAGTTGTTCATGGAGATGTTGAGGGTCTGCAGGTTAGGAAGGTCAATCAGAGCCTCCTCAGGTACTGCAGGCAGCTCGTTCTGGTAAAGGTCCAGGTAGCGGACCAAGGGAACATCTCTCAGTGCACCGGCTTCGATCGTGCGAATTCGGTTGAAAGCCAGGATGAGAACCTCGAGCTTGGGAGTGCTGGAGAAATCTCCGAGTCGAATCGCACCGATCCGATTGTGAGACAAGTCAAGGACGGTGACGGTGGCCGGCAGTGCCCGAGGCACGGCCGCGAGGTCACATTGTGAGTAGTCTCCATTGTCTCTGCAGCAACAATTTTTTGCTTTGGTCCCACTTATGCCTACACCAGCCCACGGTCCGGCCGTGCAGAATACGACAACGGCATACTTCAGCAACTGTTCCATGATCCTCGGTGTTTAGGGCCCCTGATGAAGAGCGGAAGAAAAAGATCCACGGATACAAGTAGTCAGAACCGTGCAAATGCTTGGCGTGCAAAAAAGCGGAGAGATGTGCTCAGTTGGAATGACACGGAGATCAGAGAGAGGATCACATGGGACAGAGGACCTACACATCAGTTTAACACGTAGTAGGCTTTCGCGACCAATATTATTCACAATAAAGGTGTTTGGAATTAGATCGTGTGAGTATAAATGTGCCGTAACACTCCACCACCCGACACAGCCAATAGGATTTGTCATGGAAAACAATGCGCCAATGAGTTACTAATTCAGCCCACCGGCGTGTTGAAGAGTAAATCCACAACATTTACACATGTTTAGACATATCACGTTGACCGTTAGGAAAAGGGGAGATGGGTGGTTGTCAAGACTGAAGATGGAGTGCGACCGTGAGGGAGAGTGACGGCTTGAGGGAAGCCTTCATCAAGCAGTGGATTGGTCATGATTGATGATGATAAATGCAGAGCAAACGTGTCCCAACATCAACTCCTGGCCAACATTAAATAGACATGCACTACATCCTGTACGAATTAGTACCTGTCACCACATGGAAACAAATGGTATCAGCGTATATTTTTTTAACACCAAACGATGACAAAAAATTTTTATTCGAGCTGGGTTTTGTGCACCTCAAATGCCTGTATAGGCTTTGGCAATGGCCATTAACTAACATGCAATAACACATACATATACCTCTTCTTGGTTATTTCGGTAAAGTCACGTAGAATGAGAATAAAACAATAAAATAAGACAATAAAATTCTCACGACGTTTCGGCCACAACACAAGTAGCCTTCTTCAGGTGAAGGAACAGAACTGTCGGGATGACAGCGCTTCAATGAAGGCTACTTGTGTTGTGGCCGAAACGTCGTGAGAATTTTATTGTCTTATTTTGTTTTATTGTTTTATTCTCATTCTACGTGACTTTACCGAAAGAACCAAGAAGATGAATCCTTGCAGTCACGAAAGCTTTAAATCGAAACATACATATACATTTAACACGTGAGATTGTTTTATATATAAAAACTGCATATTGTCAATATGCCTGCTGAATAAAAAGGGCTCGCCATGCTATATCAGTGCTCGAGGACTATACTTCACCACATTAGTCGTCACGGGTTATCGCTCTACACTGATATTAGCCGTGATCGGGATTAAAACCCGGGGTCGCTCGCGTTCATTGTACAATGCACGAACAAATGCGGTACTGCCTGCGCTGTAAGATTCAAGTTAATAAAAGTCAAAGTCATATTCTTCTCAAATGAGCATTGAAGCAGTGCTCATTATCGCATACAGCCCTGAACCCAGTGGTGGATAATTGCACATTGCTATGGCAGGGGTGGAGTATTTCCATAAGGCAACCACTCTTGCATTACACACGTGTTTTTTTTTTTATCGACCCAGGATAAATGATGGGCTGAATGAAACCCCCAACGAGGATTTGAACTCGCAAACCTTCGGATTGCGAGCCCATCGCTCTACCGCTGAGCAACGAGGCTGGATTCCCCCGTACACATTCATACATGGAAACATGTGTATACATTTCCATTATTAAACGACAACAACAACTTGCCTGCTCGATGTCAGTCTACCTTTTTTGGCGGTTGAAGTTCAGTTCCCGTTGTTCTCTACTGCAGTCCAGAGTATAAGGCATTCACAAATGTCCACATTGAAAAAAATATATCAGAGAGGTAACCATTACAACTTGCGGAACTCAACAGATCATATAAATCCAGCAACACCTACTGGGAAAAAGAGGTCTCGCCTTGCAATCCTTGAAGCAATCAGAGTCGAGGAGCGTTTAGAAGTGACCGTGGTGTAACGTACATCAAAGTAAATATCTTAAAGCCCACTTGCTTTGCTCGCTGCGGTTTCAAATTGTGGTCGTCCTTGTGTTCCAAGACATCGCAGCGCTGCCTTATACACTCTGCGTGCTCAATTGTATATTCACGAAAAGGAGGAGCGTCAGTGCATGAGATATTTCCGCATACCTTGGCTTCTGTTCGCTACCCATGTGACGCCTCTCATGCGAACTCAACAACCTCTCAAGGCAAGAAGTAACAACTTACGTAACAGATATTATTCTCCCCCGCAGGCCTTTGTAGATGTACAAAAGGGTGAGAAGCCGTATTTTCTGAAGCACCCCATGAACGTTACTCACTGCTTCCCCGCGCCGCTGCTATCTCTCACGGTCTCGAGATTTGACGATACACGTGCCTCCTGCATCATATTTACCGGTGGATGTCCTCTCCGGGCGGGTTCCCTCCCTTTGGTTTCGAGCGACGTTTTCACTGCCCAAAGCCCACCTCTCTCGTTTAAAATTCGTCTTTTCAAAAACAGCAGGGTACAGAGAAGCGCGGGACCAGGGTATGTGCACGGCATCCCAGATGACCATCACAAACAAGCACACGCAACAATTAAGAGCCCCGCGTTATGACCGAGGAAACGACGGGAAGACGATTAAAATGGGGAGAGGGGAAGCACAGAAAAGAGAAAGATAAGGTTGAAGGAATAGGGCCCTCTTTTTATTAACAGCCAATATGATGTCTCAAATGCGCACGTCCTTTGATCCGTGTGCTTCCTCGTCGTGTCTCAGGATAACTCCAAGCCCGCGCCTCTCCACGCTTCATTAGATTGCGTGTCATGCGCATGTTAGAAATGTAAATGTGTTCCAGAGTTTCTGTATTGTTACTTCTGGATTCTATACCGATTGCGCCATCAGTGTCGTGTCATGGGATGAACAAAATACTCGCTACCCTCACAGAACAATGTATTATTCACTTCTTTCGCACCGTACGTAGCCAACTGTGCTAATCGAAAATGCGTGGGAAGGACAGCAAACTGAACACAAAAAGCAATTTCTAAATAAATTCCTTTTCAATCGCGATGATTTAAAAGTGCATAGCTCCCGTGGCTTCCTAATATCGGAAGAGCGTTCCAGACGGCCGCAGAAGCTCATCTGAAAGCGCGGATAAGCGGTGAACGTCTTTGTTCTATGGCCAGACAAATGCCGCTGCGAGGATGACCGGAGTTCACGTGATGGCTTGTGCTCATTGACGAGATCAGCAAGGTATAATGGCTCACCTGTGGCAAGCACTTGGTGTGTAATGAGTGTGACCTTGTAATCAGCTCGTTCGGCGATCGAAAGTCAAATGCAGCTCGGCGTGAAATGCCACCCACCAACTCGCACGGAGCCGCGTGAGTGGACGTCACAGGATGACTTTGGTTGACCTCTGATGCACAACACAACTAAGGCTACACGGCAGCACTCGGCCAATCGCCGTGCTAAATAGCACTGCGCATCGCTGAAATGGAGCAGAGTTAAGTTCAGTCATGATTTTTGTTCGTCAATCAAAACGCACTGCACTTGAGAATCCGGTTTAATCGCAGTCGGCTGACCTGAATTCCAACCCAGGCATTGAGCGATACCAGCGCTCTTGGCTATCTCGCAATCTTCTAACTTAAATTTCGACTTAAAGCTTTAGTGACTGCAAGGATTCATCTTCTTTGGTTCTTTCGGTAAAGTCACGTAGAATGAGAATAAAATAATAAAATAAAATAACAATAACATTCTCCCGACGTTTCGGCCACAACACAAGTGGCCTTCTTCAGGTGAAAGGAACCAAAGAAGACTTTTAACTTAAGTTAGTTTGTGTATCAACATAGGGCTTTTATGGGTTTGTTTTGCTACTCATTGCTAAAAAAATATAGGGCGCTTAAAAAAAACGTTAACACTTATATGGGATTATCGTTTTTAATGGAAAAGAACGGATAATACTGCACTGTAACATGATAATGAATGTATGTTAATCGCTTCAAAAAAAGTCTCCACTTGTTCGCCGTCATTGTCAACACACGGCCTAGAATCTTCTCCAGGTGATATCCAGAGGCCGGAGTCTCATTTCTTGCGGGTATTTTTGCAAATTCTCCGAAGTGTTAACATTGTTTTTGAAGCACCCTGTACATCCCTCCATGTCAATTTCCTTCGTATTGTTCGTTGCTTTTCAGGGGCACCAGTGGAGAGTGGATTCAAGTGATCCCCTGCAGCCATCGTGACAAATCATCTAATCGCCGGGGCAAGGCAGTCGATTCTCAGAGAATTCGGGGTTTTTTCAGCATGGTGGTTTAATCTTGATTTGAAGCTTTTCGTGGCTGCAGGAATCCACACTCTTTGGTTCTTTCGGTAATGTCACGTGGGTATGTAGAAATAAAATAAAACAAATCACGACGTTTCGATCGCTTGCGTTGCGATGGAAACGTCGCGATTTGTTTTATTTTATTTCTAACTACGTGACTTTACCGAAAGAACCAAAGAGTGTGGTGGTTTAATTTAACACGTCGGCTTTCGCGACCAATATTCTAGTTGCAGGTTTATTCCGAAGTGGTGAGGTGCAGGACAATCAAAGAACCCTCAAGGTGCTAATTGTAAATGTTGTGGGTTTACTCTGCAACACACCGGTGTGCTGTACTAGTAACGAATTGGCCACGTTTAGTTTACGTGAAAACCCCTACTAATTGGCTGTGTCGGGTGGTGCGGGTTTAACAACACATTTATATTTAAGCGATCTAAGCAACAACCCCCCCCCTCCCCCGCTGTATTTTGGTGGTTTAACCCATGATGTTCAACACAAAGGTAGGTTTGTAATCTGAGCAATAGTGACTGCTTCATGGGAAAAAAACCCCACATATACACAGTAAATAGAAAAACTGGTACTAACCAAAGCGCCGTGGGTCTTTATGCATGACTGTATTAGTCACATTCCAGGCGATGATCGAAATGTCAGAATGTCATTGATGCATGATTGAATACAAACGACACCCAAGCACTGCCTTTTCAGCCGTGTTGCCATGTGTCACCATGTGTCACACGAGTGTATAACTAAGGAGAAAGATTTGTCTCTCGGCTTCTTTGGTTATTGTCAGGAAGAACACACTCCCTTCGCGAGCCTGAACAAGCAGTAATTGACCCATTACGGCATTTACAAAACAGTACACGTACGACCCCAACCAACCAACCAACAGCAGAGATAACAAACAAAAATAATGTCTCCCTCATAAATGTTTCTTCACTTTAAAAACAACGGTCATCTTTACACGATACATTGCTCCCCACGGCTTTTCCACGGGAGTGAATAATTTCAACAGCATCGATCCAGTTTAAGAAAACTCTCACTTCCATGCAAATGGCGAAGAATAATCAACGTCGTTGCGGGAAAATATAAACAACAGAATATATAAAAACAAAGTATTCATTAAAACACTTCATTAACCCCATTGCTTTTCGTAGGGATAATTTCAGCAGCATTTATACAGTACAAGCAAAGTATGGACAAGTGATAACAGTGTCTCATCAGCAAGTGGGCAGACGCAGCACATTAGAATCTGAATATTTACACTTGAGGAATCCGATGAGCTATAAAGCTCTTGTTTAAAGATGTCCAGTAGAGGCGGGTCAGAACGTTACAACTAGGGGCAGGTCAGAAACTTTACAGCATTATATTAAATTGCCCTCTGTATGTAGAGTAATTTCAGAAACGAACGTCAGAGGTATGAAAACTGTTCTTTTGATTGGTTAATTGAATTGGTCGATAAAATGTACTTGGAGAAGGGTGTAACTATAATTTACAAATATCTGATTTTGTGTTGGAATCATCCAAACGTGCCGTACCATATTGGAACCAGCAGGTACCTATACTTTTTCACTAGTTTAATTGAATAGTTATTTAAGTTCTCGGTATTTGTAACAATACATTTTTTTTGATATATACATAAAAAGGGCGGATGGATTTTGTAATCATTACATGCATGGCTATGACAGGAAAAAACTAAACTTTTTATTTTCCTAGGTAAGGCGCAGTGAGCTACATCGCTCTTTATCAGAAGCGACCTGGCTACCACAAATGATGGCTCAACGAAGTGGCTTATCACGTGGCAATTCATAGGAGCCAAATACTCTAAACGCGTGATGTTGATTCTAAATGTGGAGGAAAAGAAACCGGAGGACCTTGAGAAAAACCCCACGCGGCCACGGGGAGAGAGAGAGAGACGCAAACTCCAAATACAACACAGGGTCGGGATGGAACCCACAACCGTATGCATACCAGGCGACGGAGTTAACATCTCGGCAAAGTGAACTTGACTCGAGACATCAGAATTGTATAGATGCAGTTTTTATCCATATGGTTTCATATCTAAAGATTGGAGGACAGTTTTATCAGATCGTAACAGAGCGTGTACGCCAGGCATCTCATCATGCTTCAAACACCAGGTCCCGTAGACGTGTCAACATGATAGCAATCACTACGCGAGTGTTGTAAAGCTCAAGGTCGTCAAACAATTTGGAATGGTCTGAAATATTTACACGATCATGCGAATTGATCGTCGTGTAAATTAATTAATGCACAGCATTGTTCTAATTTCAGAGCTGGACAAAGCCCTGCCTCGTGACCCTCCGGTGATGGGGGGATTGTCAACGCTGGTTGGTGGAGCAAGAACCAGGAGCGATTAAGGTCACTCGCCCCCGACATTACGAACCTCGGGTGATCCGGCTTTACAGCAGCGCACTAACGTCTACGCATACTGCCAGTTGCATCGTAAAGAATTGGAACAGAAACGTTAGCAACAAAACAAAGTTCACGCGTGTTAAAACTTGAAAGGGTTCTTGTCTGAACCGTGGAGCTGTTTTGCATTTGCCAGCAATACACCGTGCACGCTTCATTTTTTTACATTTAGGTTCTCAGCCTGTGGAAATCCTCGTGAAGCTCAAAGTAGAAAAACAATCCGTGTGAATACAAGAGCCGCAGGCAAACCGTGCTGCCAAAACAAAAACTGGATTCTATTCAGACTGCGAATGTGTAAAAAAAATGTCTGCAGTACTGTATTACATTTCGGTCTTTTTTTAAATTCTGCATATCTCCTTGCACGTATCCACAATTACGTAAAAAAAATACAAATGAGTGGGGAAATCCCGATGTAAACTTTGCTTAATGCGAGCATGTAGAGACACGAGTGTTTGTATAGCTTTTGTGCAACGCATTCCAGTTTAACAAGTCGGGCTACTTTGGGGCACGATTCAGAACTAACAAGAAAATAAACTAACGATTGTCATCAATCTTACCTTGGCGAATGCAAATTCGCCTGAAATGGAAATCCCCAACGGGAAATTGCTACAAGCGTTGTTAATTATTGATCGCAATTGTCAGTTTGATGATCTGACAAATGTATCCATGAGGACAAAAATGGGAAAGAATTAAGCAAAAGAGCACACACCAAAGCATTCCGTTTTAAACAGTTTAATATCACATTTCATTGAAGAACAGAAACGCGTGCACATCATGCAAAACCGATTAATGTACGGAGAAACATACATTGTATGACTTTCACAATAAAAGGTGGTTTACAAAGGTAAAGCAAACTTAATGTGCGCTCATATACTTTATTGCGTGTTGTTCGGCATGGTATCCGAAAGTCATACGATTACCAGCAGGTGGGAACTGCAGATCATGTAGAAGCTCCCAGCACGAAGTGTAAAACATCGGTCATTATGGCGAACAACACGGGAGTATTGCCCGAGCTACACAGCAGAACCGCGAACATTCTATGCATCTTTAAAACGAATACCCTACTGGCACATTTTAATAAAATACATACTTTTTATTGTATTTTGTTTTACCCTGGAGACCTCTTGCAATTTAGGATGTTCTATTTCAAGGGATAATAAAGAGTAAATAATTTTATAACAAAAAATTAAATATAAGAAAAAGCTTTTACCCTTTTAACTGGCAGTTTTTTTGTGCCAGTTAAAAGGGTAAAAGCTTTTTCTTATATCTTGTTTCTGGCAAAGGAGGTCTCATAATGTTAAAAAATTAAGTAGCTAAATTTGTTCTCCAATTTTAAACTTAAAAGTGCCAACACAGCAACAACACATTGCCTACCAAGCTGCTAAAAATACACAGTATAACATGTGAATGTCAAGGTGTTCTTGTTGAAATAATTACATCTGACAAAGAATATAAGCATTTTACGAATCTTTCCTCCAGGTGAATACTAGTCAATAAAAACGGCAGCAGGAACACAAGGTTGGTGTTTATTAAACATTCCTTTCAGGCGGCGGTCCTGTCCCGTGTTGGTTCAAAATAAGTTCCAGATTCACCAAACCAGCGAGAAGCTAAAATAATCGAGGGAGAAACATACGCTGCTCCATTCCACTCCTGAAGACACTGCCGGCACGCGGAGCGAAACGTCGGGCATAGCGGTACATTCCGAAATAACATCAGAGCTACGTTAACACGTCACCAGAACAATTTGCTGCAAACCACAACAGTTCAATGTCAACAATGTCGCCTACCTATCTCTGCACAATTTAAATCACGTGAAGAGAATCAAAATATTTTTCCCAGGAATTGAAGCTCTCCGTTGAGAGGGCTATTGAATCATGAAATGAGTATCCGATATCAGTGGACTGAGGAAACAATGTTTCTCTGCTTACAGAAATATTTGACTTTTTAAGTTTAGATGCAGGCCCGATTGAAGCAGAAAGCCCACGTTCTGGACTGGATAACCCCAGCTCCTCAAGGACGTCTTCGATTAGATTTTCTTCGTACTGCCTGGAAGGTATTTTACTAAAGCCAGAGGCATCGGAGTTGCATTTAAATGATTGAGGAAATAAATGATCAGGTGATGTTTCTGAGGATGATTCATCGACTAATACCTCAAAAAGCACCTTGGGGTCTTTAAGCAAGACTTTGGGAATCAGCTCTGTGTCTTGGGAGCCACAATCGGAACTCCAAGTTGGTTTGTCATCATAGTCAGGGCTATTTTGAGAAAATGTGTGCAGCATGGTCTGCATGTTGACACTTTGCTTGGCCAAAGCAAGGTCATAGTCATCGTGAATGAACATTTGAGAACTATTTACTTGGATGAAGCAATTTTGTCTTGTTAGACTAGACGTATTTTTCTCTTTGGCAACAAAACAGCCACAGAAACTGTCCATTAAATGGGAATGCAGTTCTTGGTCTCCAAGTTGGAAAGAATTTGACCCTTGTAACTTTTTTAAAGATCCCTCATAGTTCACACAATGCTTGCCCTCAGAGCCCACAAGTACATGCGGGCTTGAGTATTGGTCTTGGAGATTTGACACGCCTTCAAGATATTGAATGAAACCATCAACTTGCATATTGTTCAATGTCATATCATTATCGGTGTCCAGCTCAACTGATGTGCTCCCCATATCTGGAGATGAGGTGGTAGGTATGGAATCTTCTTCTTCTGTTTTACCAGATGAACCTCTTGAGTTATCTTCAATGTCTTGGCCCAAAGACTTATCAACATCTCCAAACAGATCCATATCCAGCTCATCCAGGAGACCAAACAGATCATCACACTGGAAAGGAGATTAAGCACGGTTAAGGGTGTTCCAAAGAATATACTTGCATGACAATATAAAATCTACACGAGATGTAATAAGTAATATTTAAAACTTTTTTAAAAAGACGCTTTAATGAAATGTACCGTACTAGTAATGGAAGAACTCCACGACTCCAGTAAGTGGCCCCAAAGCTTGCCATAACGTAAGGGACGGTGGGCAATTACAGCCAACGTCAGTTGACCGTGGACAATTAGACCCAAGCCGAAACATAACATATAAAAAAGAATGTTTTAAAATATTTTTTTTTACTTTTTATGATAGAATATAGTATTGTCATCAGTATGACATAAGTATACCAAGTTTGCAGTCGATACCACATTGGGAAGTGGGTCAAAATTTAGTTGCAAGATTTGAGGATACAACAACGACAACAACAGAGTGAGTTAAATAAAAGTGAGTAAAAAGAATGTGTACATAACTGTAGCATATTTAAAAGCAACAATTTATGAAAAAAAAGTGTTTCTGTTAATACATTAAATTATATTTACTAAACATATTTGAACTCCTTTTAAAGGCATTGGGCTGTTAAATAAGGATGTCTGCCGAGACAAATTTATTCGGATAAAGCTGGAGAGCTACTTGGTGGGCAGCACATGTATGCTCCACACCTTCATTAAAGGACATGGACCATACCCACGTGGTGCAGTGTGATGTATGTACGTATATGTATGATGGTCAAATAATCTGCACTGCACAGGGAGGTCCATTTCAGGTCTTAATTGATTGTTCACACTTACGGTGGCTTTCAGACAGCATACATTAATTTTTCGTCTCCCCCCTCCTCTTTTCAGAACATAGATGGGACTCGTCCTTCTAAATAAACTGCCAAATCGCTGCCCGTGGCGCTAATGTATTTTTTAAAAATAAATAAATGCACCATTTACAAATAAATAAATGCAAACCGCCACTTCTTTCAAATGTTTCTTGCCGTTGGTTTTTCACACCTGATGATGACCGTTTGCGTTATGGTCGAAACGTCGTGAGAATTTTTATTGTTTTATAAATATTGTATTATTTCATTGTTTCCCTTCAACGTGACTTTACCGAAAGAGCTAAGAATGTGAATTACTGCAGTCACGAAAACTTTAAATCAAAATTTAGACTGACGCTGTCAAAGGTACACAACGCTCGAGAACATTTACGCGAACCTCCACATAAATCAACGAGCTTTACCTTGGGGTGCGCAGAGCTGTCAACAGCACCGCAAAAGTGAGGACGACGAGTTGTGATGGTGGCCGGGTCAGCACCCACTGCTGAGGTACAGCTCCCCTGAGCACTGCTGACTCGGAGGACCCGGCCACCACACTATGGTCGTCCAAACACTTGTCTTGCGCTGCCTGCTGCAACAAACAAAAAATGCACGGAAATTGATGTATTAAATGATCCTTTAAAGTGTCAAATACACTGCAGTGTGGAGAGTGAACAAATTCACACCTCCTGTTCCTCGAAGACGTCCTTGGAGAGTCTACGCCGGAGTTCCAGGTTCTGCTGGGCAAGGTTCAGAGATTGCGCTTTCAGAGCCCGGTTTTTCTCCACCAATAACCGATTCTAAAAAAAAAGAAGAAGATATTTCATCATTAAGGATACGGTCTCATTTTCCAAAACGCAGAAATTAATAAAATTATCATCTACATAGAAGGATGGATAGTCAAGAATTGCAACAGTGGCAGCCAAACGGAAATTGAAGTGCAATCACGTGGGGCGTTCACCGAGGACATGGAACAGGTGTGTCGGTGCAAGTGGATTATACCGCAGGATGTTGCTGGTTGGCAAGTACTTGGAGAGGCCTTCATCCAGCAGTGGATTGGCCGTGGCTGATGATATATACTTGAAAGTCTGGTTTCGTGTTTAAAACCTTGGCAATAACCTTGATGTGGCACTTAAAATGCCTCGGCAACTCAAAGAGTGCTTTACGTCTAGGGCACCCCACCAAGTGGTAGCTATCCCTTGTGCAGCACAAGGCGAGAGCACTTAGCCTGCAAGTGGTACATTATTCTGCCAGGCAACTTCGATTTGTTAACCCAAGGCGACAACATGAAGAAATACACTCTTTGGTTTTTTCGGTAAAGTCACGTAGGTCGAAGAAAAAAATAATAGATCACGACGTTTCGATCGCAACGCAAGCAATCGTCATCAGGCGGAAGAAGAGATCACAACGTTTCGATCGCAACGCAAGCAATCGTCGTCAGGCGGAAGAAAAATGACGGTTGCTTTGTGTTGCGATCGAAACGTGATCCATTATTTTTTCTTCGACCCACGTGACTTTACCGAAAGAACCAAAGAGTATGGATTCCTGCAGTCACGAAAGCTTCGAATCAAGATTGAGAACATGAAGAAAGTCTGATATGCAAGTGTGGCCTCCTGGGTCACCAAAATGACTAAAGGAAAAACAAAACAATGAAAGTAAATGATGCGAATATAAAACAAAGGAAAAACAACGGTCGCGTGACAAACCGAAAATACCGCACAAACACAAGTCAACATTAAACACAAGTCAACATTAAACACAAGTCAACATTAAAAATGCATTTCACGTAACGAAAGTCGGCTCGGGGCAGATTATTTTTAAACTGATCAGAGTACAGTACAATTACAAAAAAATGTAACTAATATGGGGTGACTCATATACCAAAATATAAGCAGACAAGGTCACATGTCCAAAGCCAGTATGGGGCGATGATTGCAATAGGAATTCTAACAAGTCTTTACGAGCCGATTAAACGCTACACAATAAGATGTTTAAAGCCCCAGAGTTTGCATCAAGGCAACAACGCACTTAGCGCGATAGTTTGTGCATAATAAATTATTGTTATGGTTTATCAAACTATCATCTTGAGCTTGTAACATTTACAAATGCGGAAATGTGCAGTGGACACCTGCGGGCTATCATCTGCCCACGGATCGTGATGATGATGATTGTAACGTAAATTTACGCCATCTGATATTGGTCGCGAAAGCCTACGTGTTAAACTGATTGTAAAATTTGTACCTTTGCGCGCAACTCCTCGGCTTTCTTCTCGAGGTCGCACATGAGTGCCATCTTGCGATCCCGGGCAGACTGTGCAGCCACACGATTCTTCAGCTTCCTATCAAGCACAAAGAGAAAGACAAAGATCCCCCCCGTTTAGCGTGACCAGACTGTTGGGGCAAGTGCTGTTAGCGAGCAGCCACCTATGAAGGCCGGCACGGCACACGAGGGGGGTGGGGTGGCCAGCACCACGCCCGGCCGCCTTTGTCTCCCCAGTGGCGATGTTTACACACCGCACCAGGAACTCAATTGGAGGCTGAGGCGACCTAGGGGAGTAGACCCACAACAGGTTCAGATAATCGTCACTGGTGTTGGTCGTGAGCTGGAATCGAACTTGGGATACGAGGTTCGTAGCGCAGCGCTTACCGCTACACCACCGCTCTCCAACACGGAGGCAGACACACACACACACACCAAAGCACATCAGTCACAGTTCCTGCCAATCCAACTACAGGATCCTGTTCGGAAGCTGTTTTTTTTCTCTATCAACATTATTTACAGATTCCATCGTAACAAATTCAGCATTATACATTCAAGACAAGTTAGTTCCCATTGATTGAAGCTTAAGATAATGGGGCTCTGGGTCAGAGGCCGAGACCTGACATTAGTAAACGGTTGCACTAAATATTTGTGACCAAAATGGTGACAAACATTGTTGATTTGTGAGGTGGCTCAGTAAGGTACTTCCCTAATCATGAAATCTCTATAACTAGACTATAGTACAGAGATCCCAGATTTCAGCCACCTGAAAACCTACGTGACTTTACCCAATAGAACCAAAGAGTATGGATCCTAGCAGTCACGAAAGCTTTAAATCTAGAATAGAAGCTTAGTCTGATGATTTCACAGCCCATTTCATCAATCGTGTATATTTATGTTGAACTTCTTTCGCACCGCACGTCACTGAAGGCACAAAAACGCAGTTTAATTGAACGTCGAACCTTACGCAATCCCAGTCTTGCTTCTATAGAACTCGCCTTTTGCCCGTCCAAAGACGGGTGTATTGCAGTAAATGTGAAACTTGCAAGCGCAAAGCAGACCGCGATGTGATATTTTCATTGCATCAACTCGTGTGCAATTTGTAAGGGCGTGGTGACACGGACCTATGCCATTTAAAGGTTACAATCCCTTGTTCAACGTGACGTCCTTTTTACTTTGATGTCTCAACAACATCGTTACGGAGATCACGTGATGACGTGAGGGTTCTGCCTTTGCAGTGAGGGTTGTCAGTTGACGCCGAGGAGGGGGGAGGAGGCGCCTCGCCCCTCCCACCATGTGGAGTGACGTCAGCCGCTAATTATTACTAGTGAGGAGGGGTGGGTCCATTTGGAGGACGTCACCTGCTCATGAATATTAATAAGGGGGGGGGGGGCTGGTCGCCGTGGAGTGACGTCACGAGCGCTCAGGGCATTCCTGGGTGATAACGAGTTGGAACAAGGCAGATGGAGCGGCTAAACCCGTCACGTTCTAAATTTTGATTTAAAGCTTTCGTGACTGCAGTAATTCATATTCTTAGTTTTTTCGGTAAAGTCACGTTGAAGGGAAACAACAAAATAATAAAATATATTGTTTATATTATTGTTTTATATATTTTATTATTTTGTTGTTTCCCTTCACCGTCACGTTCTGTTTGCTAATCCTGGCAAACACCAAATGGTGCGCGAGACATCGCCAACCGGCGATCCCAAACGAATGGCGCATTCTGTGACATGTCAACATACCAATGCAGCCACTGCCAGAGTGTGAAACTAAAAAAAACAATCGAACACATACGATAACGCCTTAATGTCCTCTTTGCCCCCCTCCACCACACAACTACCGCCTCCTGCTCAAGCTGTGACAATGCAACACGGTGCGTGGAAGAGGTGCCCGGGGAACCTTTCACCCATACCTTCTCGAGGCCTTCTCCTCGGTGGACAGGTGCACGAGGCGCTGCCGTTTCCTCGGCGGAGACGTCCCCGGCCCTCCACCAGCCACCGCCTCGCCCGTCCGCGGGCACTTTGTGGGCCGAGACGGTGGTGCTGGTGGTGCTGGTGGTTGTGGGAACGGAGGCGTCGTCGTGTGGCAAGGGAGACTCTGGCACGGTGGCACCCGGGACGCGGGGACCTGCGAAGGGGTGGCGACGGGGGAAGGTGGAACCCGCCACGGGGTTCCCTCGGGAGGGAGGCGGCTCTGGGGCAGAGTGGCTGAGGCCGTGACGACCTCGGCCAGGCCGAGCCGAGGATGGAGACGGCCCTGGGACGCTGACCCCGGGTCCCCGCACCGAGACCCCTGCGCACCCGCGTGGCCCGGGGGTATGGAGGCCATCACCTTCCGAGCGCGGCGGGGCCGAGGAGCGAGAGGCACCAACGCGCCGATTTTAACTTCATCGGCGGCAGCGTTCTAAATGGCAAACGCCGCACGCGCGCGCGCGCACGTGGGCGCGCAAACATCTCGACCGCGCAACGACATCGAGGTTCGGACCCCCTCCAGCACCAGCGAGCCGAGGCCAAGCGGAGCCGCCGAGGCCGTGGGACGAGGGGGGGGGCAGCGGGAAGCACCTCGAGGAAAGTGGGGGACGAGTGGAGGAACCTCTCCGGCGTCACATTCTTTTTGTTTTGTTATCAACGTAAACTCTGCCCCGGGGGCTCAACGTTAGAGCTGGCGCGAGGCGCCCGGCCGTTGTTTCCTGCCCCCAGGGCGACTTTCGCACGCGCAGCTTTGCGAACCGCGGGTTGTCTGACGATCGTCGCGCGCGTCGCGACGGCGGATCGCCAACTCGGCAGTCTCCTATTGGTGGATCGCCAACTCGGCAGTCTCCTATTGGTGGATCGCCAACTCGGCACTCTCCTATTGGTGGATCGCCAACTCGGCACTTTCCTATTGGTGGATCGCCAACTCGGCAGTCTCCTATTGGTGGACGCGGCGGTGATTGACAGCGAAAGTGGGGGGGAGGTGACCATAGCGGGGCGTGGACACCCCCCCCTTTCCCCCCCCATCATCACCCCCACTCACCCCCACGCTGGCGATTCTCTCGATTCGATGTTGCTTTTACGATTCAGTAATCGATTCTCTATGCAGGACCCAGATTCGGAATACCATATTTTATATTTTCTAAAGGAATCCGATGGGCTGTAAAGCTCTTTGTCACAGACGTCCAGTCGTTTCACAGATGTCCAGTAGACCCAACGTGGGGTTGTCCGTAGGAATCCAATCTCCATACCACTGCCAAAATAAATAATCAGACGTTATGCCTCTTTAATGTACCTAATTATTCAGCAGCACTGGTTCAGGTCAAGCCAACTCTGGGCCGGTTTGCACATTCAATGCCTCATCGGCAGTCAGTCTTGCTTGGATCAAGGCGGGCGAACCGCCCGAAGACGTTATAGGCAGGGACCCTTCGTGAAAAAAGAGCTTTACAGCTCGTCGGATTTTTGCAGTGTAAATAACTATTCTAATATTTTTGGGGTCTTTCGGCTTTACCGCTGGCCACACTGAATAGGCGAAGTACCGCGGTCTTTCCACACCTCGCTTCTCTCTTCCCTGCGTCTCCCTCGCCCTACGCCCAGTCTCTCTGTCGTTCCCTTTTCTCCTTCTTGCTCCCCTTTCAACTGGAACAAACTCCCACCGCATACACAACAATCATCTCCACGGACCTGTTTCCGTTCCTCCCTTGGAACGCCTCCAATGTAATTGGAGTGTGCGTGTCTTTCTCTCCCTCTCTCTAACCCCGTGAAGTTTACTCATGCTTCTCCGTGGGTTTCCCCCACTCCTTCAGAATCAAATTCAGTATTTGGCTGCTATACATTTCCACGTGATAAGCCACTTCGTTGAGCCAATTATACTAGTTGGCTGTGTCGGGTTGTGGCGGGTTTTAACGACACAGTTATATATTTACGAGATCTAACCCAAAAACCTCTATTATGGATTATATTGGTCGCGAAAGCCTACGTGTTAAACCAAATGAAAAAGAGTTATGTAAAAAAAACCTAATCTTTTCTCCCCTGCTCTCCCCAGCTACGACCGGGCTTACCCCAACCCCTCCTAAACTGCTCCTGTCACCACAACTACACCACCACTCTTAATAACCTCACTCTGTATTTTAGCCACCGTCATCTTACGTTCAATTGTATAATTATATGGAGCCATGTGCCCCGTGGCTATCATGGCAATAAATTGTAACACAAACAAGCGGGCAATAAGCCTCCTATGTTATATCTGTCACGCCGCATACTTTTTTTTGCACATCCCATTAGTCAAAAGACTAATTAATTCAAATACAATTCAAACGCCAGACCCTTTTTGACGTTCAGTCTCGTCAGGCTTGCTAAAATAAATGATGTCAAATTTCCAGTGTTCATAGGGCAAGGACCCTCTGCATTCGATATGGGCCCAAGTTCAATGATTAATTAGCATTTATTTTTTTCCACAATGACGCTCATCATTACTTTGTGCAATAATTGCAGTCCACCACAATGGTCATGATCCATGAGGATATGGTGATAAACATCCCTGAATGGAGCTCTCCTGCTATAACTAGATCCTATGTTTACATCGTATGATGTTGTCTTCCACGTTTGTTTAACGATGAGATGAAAGCGAGCTTGCCAGGGTCATCATCCATCGACTGATAAACCATAAAAAAGTTGAAAAGATTAGCACAGTGGACTTGCAATCCAGAGGTAGTCGGTTCGATCTCCTGGCGCGGCAACTGAAACGGGGTTAATTTCTAAACCCTGGACCTCTTGTCTACCCAGCAGTATAAATAGATACACCTACAGTCAGTTGGTAGGGTTCATCTTGGTAAGGTAAAGTGTGGGTAACTCCAACCTCTTCCAAGATGTGTGGCCAGAGTAGAAGAGTCGGCTCCAGATGGGTTCTAAGAGCTCCCTCTAAGCAAAGAGGCGCTTCCACCAGCACTGGTGCAAAACAGAACATTGTAAATGATGTTTGAAGCTTTTTAAACTGTGCTGGAAATATTTGTAACTTTATTTATGTACACGTGTTATAACAAGCATGTCAAAGTCATCCCAACATTAAGCATCTACAAAGATGGCCCGAGTGTTATTATAAAGAGTAGTTCACCAAGAAATTACATTTTATATCAGCATTATTAAAAACACCAACAATATTTGCATTCCAGTTAAGAAATTGAACCACCTAATTTCCACGTCGGCATTTGCCTTGTGCTTGTTATTTTCCGTGCATGTCAATACTGGACTGCATTGCACTTTTTGATGCCGGATTTTATAGAAACGGTAGAATGGTTATGAACTCAATGAAAGCATCTTCACACATTCTGCAATCACGTACTCATGATACATATATGCACAAAACGTTTTTTGGCCTTACTGTATAGCAGCATCTAACATTACGGTCCCTATCAAACGATGATTTAAAATCTGCTTTCTATGGGTAGACAGGACGGTGGGAGGTGTGCTGTCAGACACAAACTCCCGGGACAGCTCAGCACTCGCAAAGGCGAGAACTTTCCATAGCAGAGGTTAATTTTGTGATTTGTAGCACAAACGACTACCACCACTGTCACGTTTTCTGCTCAGACCATTAGCGATTTTAGTAACCTGAATGCAGCTGTGTAAACAGACACACACGTTAACAAAAGGCAAGTACTATTTATTGCGCATAATGGACGCGTTACTTTTGTGTCACTAGCTTGACAGGAGGGTAAAAGAGAGTTCCCATGGAGAAAAAGAAACCCAGTTCATGTGCAGTGCTCGAGTTTAACACTTTTGTTTCATCAAACACACAGGTATACATTTTATATTATACTGCACGTTTATATCACATTCATTTGACAATAACTAAAAGGAGACCTTTAATTATTTACAAAACAGCGTTCTTGTACCATTTCTTAAACTATCAAATGGTTTTGATTTAAAGCTTTCGTGACTGCAGGGATTCATATTCTTGGTTCTTTCGGTAAAGTCACGTAGAAGGGAAACAATAAAATAATAAAAATGTAAAAAATTAAATTCTCACGACGTTTGGACTGCAACACAAGCAATCATCATTCATATCACAAGCAATCATCATCAGGTGTGAAAACCACACCTAATGATGATTGCGTGTGTTGCAGTCCAAACGTCGTGAGAATTTGATTTTATATTTTTATTGTTTCCCTTCTACGTGACTTTACCGAAAGAAACCAAGAATATCAAATGGTTATCAGGATTACTTTCAAATCCAAAACCGACTTGAACATTCCTGCCCCCAGTTTCCATTTGGTCACTCGATTTTTCCAGGCACGATACTAATTTTAGACAACCCACACCATTATGACTACAACATTGAGCGCGAATGATTCTGTGCACTTCCCCAGGTTACGGTTTCAGGACAGGTTTTGTGAATCTTTGGCACGGGTATTGAACCATTACCGGCAGTATAGTGCAGTGGGTTTTCTGTATCAAGATCCAAAATCACATGTTATTTTCAATCTGAAAGACTAATTATGCTAAATCTTAATGGCAGATAATGCAAAAATTTAAAATAAACGTAAATAAATATAACATTTGCATTGTATGCGCAATACAATTGTATGCACAATCACACCAAATGAAAAAGGGGGTTCTCTCCAGTGACAGGGTAAGTCTAAGATTTGGAATTGCTCATCTGTGAAGCCACGCTTGGCCAGTTGGTACCATGTGGCCTGAAAAACCATTCACCACGTTGAATAATCTCCACCACGAAGGTCCTAATGCACAGATTCATAGCATCACATCTCTGCAACCTCAGGCACGTGCACACACAGAACTCGGGAATGGAAAAAAACAAACTAGGCTTGTTATACTTATCACACAGTACCAAACAAACAGGTCATAAACAATCTTGATTTGAAGCTTTCGTGACCGCAGGAATCCACACTCTTTGGTTCTTTCGGTGAAGTCACGTGGTAGGTAGACAAATAATAGATCACGACGTTTCGATCGCAACACAAAGGTGGGACAACCACCTTGCTGCTGGTTGTCCCACCTGATGCTCATCACCTGATGACGATTGCTTGTGTTGCAATCGAAACGTCGTCATCTACTTTTCTACCTACGTGACTTTACCGAAAGAACCAAAGAGTATAGGTCATAAACATTACAATTTTTGGTTCTGTTGGGTAAAGTCACGTAGGTGAAAATAAAATAACAAAAAATCACGACGTTTCGGCCACAACACAAGCGGCCTTCATCAAGTGAAGGGACGAGACTGTCTGGTGGACAGTCTCGTCCCTTCACCTGATGAAGGCCGAGACTGTCTGGTGGACAGTCTCGTCCCTTCACTTGATGAAGGCCACTTGTGTTGTGGCCGAAACGTCGTGATTTTTTATTTTATTTTCACCTACGTGACTTTACCCAATAGAACCAAAGAGTATGGATCCTAGCAGTCACGAAAGCTTTAAATCTAGAATTACAATTTTTGCCAAATTATTGCTCAGCAGTAAGCGATCTTTACATCAAATGCGATATTAAAAAAAATGCAGCGTGTGCAATTTTCCTGTTGTTTCATTTCACCAAAACCCTTTCCTTAAATGAATAGGTCACTTGTTTCAAATGATGTAGGATCCACGGGGTTAGCCGTTCAGTATTGAATCCCAATGTACACAAACAAACGCACAACTCCACATACTCATTGTATATACATATTATAAACTTGACCTTGAAACCTGCAGTGTAAGTAACATAAATATTATATAATCTAAACATGTAATATTGCAAGCACAGAGGAATGTCAGGTGTAGCACAAGACAAATAAATATTGTTGAGCATATCAAAAGTTAGGGATTTCGTATTGTTGCTTTTGTTAACAAAATGATTAAATTGTATCGTTTATAACATTGGTTAGCAAAATATTATTATTCATGTACACAGTGTTCCACATTTAAGTGCATACTTTGAAAATAACTCCATAGACAGCGCCATATTCCATGCCTCCAAGGTGTATGTATGTTGAACTTCTTTTGCACCATACCTAAGATGAAAGGCAAAGCATTTACGAACTGGATATCTTCTGGACACCTGTGAAAAAGAGCTTCATAGCTCATCGGATTCCTCCAGTCTAAATTAAAGAGAGGGATTCTGATTCTGGAAACCAGCAGGATTTTCAGAGACCTGCATCAGCCACTGCACCCTTCAAATTTTTATTTTGTTGTTTGTGAAATGCGTTTTGAGTCCTGGAATAGTAAAAATATATACATTTTCCATAGTGTGATTTTTTTCGATGCAACAGCATCGTTAGAACCCCCCCCCCCCACGTTGACGAAAACAAACGGTCGTGTTCCAGCAATTGCACTTGAAGCCCTACACGCATCACACAGCAGCCCAAAAAAGTCTGGGCTCAAATGTTCTTCAGGAAGGAGAGGAAGAATCCCTTGGTGTCCTGAGGAACAGTTTTCGTTCGGAGAGACCCAGCAGACACGTGACGAGCCATGTCTTTGCGGTGTTGCTCCTTGAGCTGCTCACCGATGACCATCTGCATGTCATCCTGCAGAGGGCGCAACAACAACAACAAAATAAATAAGCCATGGAAGCGAGCACAGAACAAATCGCGATTATCTCAGTACGGCCACTTGGCCAGCAGAGGGCAGTGCGGCAGCAGCGGCAGGTGACAGCACCCTCGGCTGCTGCATTGGCGCTTACGCTACCCCCGCCGTGTGCCTTCTCAAAACGCCGCAATGATTGTCAAATAACCCCAGCAGTATATTGGCAGAAGGGCTGTACATATAGACGTACAATGTTACGGCTGCAAATGCGTGTGGCCACACATGTGGCTGCCATGGGCCCTGCCCAGTGCAAATTTGCACGACGGCTACACATTTGAATAGAGTATTGCAGATTTTACATTACATGTTGCAACAATCCACCAAAGCGGCTAATAAACATCTGAATCTTTCGATTTAAATTTCGATTTAAAGCTTTCGTGACAGCAAGGATTAATCTTCTTTGGTTCTTTCGGTAAAGTCACGTAGAATGAGAATAAAATAATAAAATAACACAATAAAATTCTCACGACGTTTCGGCCACAATGCAAGCGGCCGTCTTCAGGTGAAAGGAACAGACCTGTCGGAACGACAGAGCTTAAATGGACCGAAAGAACCAAAGAATCTGAATCTTTCTTTATACCAGAGGAATCGGATGAGCTAGAAAGCTCTTTTCCACAGATATTCCTTCAACGGCCAACCAAAGCAGGCGTGGTATGGCAACTGCACGATTGGTTGGTCATCTCCTACAGGGCACGACTGTTTTTGTTTTTTAAAATCGTCTTTGGCCCATGACTTGGAATGTGGCTGATGGTGACGTGACAGGGTATTACAATGGGGGTAAAGGTAACAGCTGTGCAGAGTCACAAACGATGCCAAACACTGAGCACGTGTGCGTTGAGGCCGAGAGCCGACCCAGGGAGTGCCATGAAAAGAGCTACAGAATTTCGATTTAAAGCTTTCGTGACTGCAAGGATTCATCTTTTTTGGTTCTTTCGGTAAGGTCATGTAGAATGATAATAAAATAACACAATAAAATTCTCACGACGTTTCGATAATGGATTGCTTGACAAAAAAAGTGCTTTTCGGCCACAACATTGTGGCCCGAAACGTCGTGAGAATTTTATTGTGTTATTTTATTATTTTATTCTCATTCTACGTGACCTTACCGAAAGAACCAAAGAAGAAGAGCTACAGAAGTTTGGTGTAGCAGTTGGAAGTATTTATTTTTTGTTAACCAAATCAAAATAATTCACAACGATTTAGATCCATCGTCTATTATAACAGTTGAGTTCAGTTAAGAGGATGACCCCGAATAGAATGGATCGATGCCATCACAGATTGGACGAGAATATTCTTTCCCTTTACCAATGTCTTCAAGTAACCAAAATGTCGAGTAAACTTCGTCTCCATGCGTCTGCGGTGATGACGCCCCCATGCGATAGCGGAGGTTACGAGTTGACTCAAGTGACCTATGATAAATACCGTGCCCCTGATTGCAAGCAAAATATCATGGAAACGCACGTGGGAAATTTCACAAGTACGGTGAGACACCTAGGCGGTTATTTATGAACGTATTAGAGCATGGGATGTGGAACATCTACCCACTAAAACACCACAACCGATACTATACCTGTGCCCACTCAAAGTGATGGATTATAGGTGGGCTTTAAGAGGCAAAGTGACAAGCAGAAACCTCAAGCTTGTCTAGATTGTCAGCCAGAGAAGCCAGGCTGCTAAGTACCCCAAGAGAGGGGAGCTATCTCCACCACAGCCACCAGAGGGAGGGTGACAGCAGACCATTGGGAAGGGTGAGAGGAGACCAGTAATTGTGGGAAGGGCAAGATAAAAAAAAGACACAACCAAAACACCAGTTTGGAAATGCTGACTGTAAGTTGAGTCTGAATAACGACTTTATTATCCCTCCCTACAATTTGAGGTATGGTTCACTTAATTAGGCAGGGTAAATTACATCACCTAAGCAAAACAACAACATAATTCACCGACTGTGGGTGTTAGCGCAAAGTAATTTTCGATAATGTATTGCTTGACAAAAAAAAGTGCTTTCCCATTCAATTTCAGGGTGCTGCCAATCTCTTGTTTACAGCTCTAGGTCAGTGATAGAAATTCCACATTCCTATGTCAAGCCTTGCCATAGGCAAACCACCGTGGGCTTGCCCACAACATGGCACTCATTCTATTGACTTGAGGGATGCAGGGTTGAGTCCACCCCTGAGGCAGGATTTTAACTTGAAACCTTCCCAATGCAAGCCCCTACCCCCCTAGTCGGATTAGATTGCTTAATCGTTGCTGGAATATTATGGGAGCATACACGAAATATTATTTCATGCCAACAATTTGCGACGCGATCAAATTACAAAATTAACAGCCTTGCTCCCGCATTTAAAACAAATAAAAGCATGCCTGTCGCATGAAATAAACTTCAGGGATCGTGTTCTTGACATTCAAACGAAAATCAAGTACCGCAGTAACGCTCACGTGTGGTGCAGCTACGTAAATGTACAGGAAGCCCCCGTATCCTGTAAGTTCTGTGTGCTGTGAAATTTAATAACGGCATACACACCTGCCAAGCCTCGAGCTGCTGTGACAGGTCAACCTTCTGCTGAATGGCCTCCAGAAGCTGGTTACTCAATGTCACCATGTCCTCTCGACATCTCTCCAGCTCCACCTCGACCCCCTGTTTCCTGTCATCACACCAAGACAACATGCACTTCATCAGTGACGCAACTTTTTTTCACAAGCATGTCCCACCATGCGAACTGTGATCATCCCTCGCAGCGGTTTTGGACGGCCATTGAACAAAGACGCTCGATGCTTCGCGCGCTTTCAGATGCGCTTCTGTTAGGAAGCCACTGGAGATACGCACTTTTAAATCTCCACTGAAAACTAATTTCTTTAGAACTGCTTTGTGCGCTTTGTTTGTGGTCCTTCCCCGCACCTCTGATGATTAGTACGGCGTGGCACAGTGTGGCGCAAGCTATCAGAGTGCGGTCATGTCGCCACAGTTCCTTGCGGTGAGTACAATGTCTTTAAAAACAACGGTGCCGTGCCTCTAAACAAAATCAACGCCGAACCGCTTGCGCGTTCCGAGATTCAGCGGTGAAAGGAACCCCACCCTGCAGCTTGCAGCCGTCTCCAAAGGGGAAAGGGGTCAAGTGTGGGAAGGGAAAGAGAGAAGACTCACTTTGCAATGGCCTCGTCACGCTCTCTTAAGGCCTTCCTCAAGCCGTCGTCCCAAGGCAGCCCCGCCAGCACGGTATGCAGCCCCTTGCACTCCTCCCGGGCCTCTCGTAGCTCTTCTGCTTGGGCCTCCAGCTGAAGGGAGATACGAGAGCGCATGGGTCACACAATTGGGATGCCAGCGTAACATTGCGAGTCAACGTTAATTACTTACCCACGCCAATTTGCAGTTAAGTTCATCTGTGTCGGCTGTAAAGCGCCACGGGGCTCTCACGAATCTCTAAGCCGTTGGATAATCGCGGTGGGCTTCAGGTTAATCCCCCGCATGGTGAACGCGGTGCACAAAACGCAAGCTACTGGATGCCGTGCACACGGAGGGTCGAACTTTGTACATTTTTAGCAGAATGTGTGGATGCAAGGAAGAAGTACGAAATTCGATGAATTGTAGTTCAGAGACGCCGGTGAGCAAGTAGGAACACTTACAGTCAAAGTTAATATTTACGATCACTGCAGGCTTAGCAACAGTAAAATAAATACATCTGCTTAACCGCCACGTGACCTACTCAGCCACGTACCCTTGGGTTATTTCAGTAGCAACACATGAACGGCACAATTGCCATATTTGCAGCTATTGTTTGAAATTATTCTCATTTGGTTGCTTTTGTAAGGAAACAAAGTTGGGAAAGTTATCACAGTTGTGCAATTGATGTATGGGATAATATTATTTTGTGGAGCGTGAAGTGGAAAATCAACAAAACATTTGACGAGTTACACAATTTCGCTTCCACATTTTTGTTTGGGGTCTTTCAGTATCTCACTTTTAAGTTCCACATTGGCTACAATTAGTTTTATTTATGGTATTATTATTCGTGTTGTTTATCTGCTTTTTCAAATATTTTTTCCTCTGCCTCAGACCGACAGCCTCTACATACCAAATAAATGTGGCCAATGGTTTACAGTGCAGCATCTTGAGATGCAGTTTCATTGAGACGCCGTACGAATACAAATTTCAATGTATCGTACAATTCACTGTATACTTTCTACCTCTGACCACGTAACTTGTTTCATCTAAAGCAGAGGCTATCTGGGCCTGGCCGAATTAGGCCTGTTGTTCATACTTTGTTCATTATGGGCACAATATAAACACAAGTGCTGTAGTAGTATAATTATTCTAATAAGCAATGGGTGGAAACCTCGCTCTGCAGGCACTGTGCTTTTTCTTTATAGATGCGCAGCTCCTCTCCGTCACGCTCCCTCTCTTGACGGAGAGTTTCCAGCTCTGAGAAGGCACTCCGCAGCTGAACTTGAAGGTTCTGCTCCCGTACCTGCGCAAAGCCACAACGGATCGCAAGACACCCTCGGTTAATCAACACGGCCAAAAAACACAACCAGCCTTGCCACGGTTTGGTGACGATGAAAGCAGAGGGTTACGTCAAAGTTCAAGAGCATCTCTCTTGAGGCTCACTATAATTACAGTTGGTAAGCGGTTGATGGGAAGACCTAAGCACGCCTCAAGGGAAGACCTTTGGACCAAATGGTGGGATCTGTATCGCAGATCTTGGAGGTCATACGTCTTTTTATTTTTTGGTTATTTTACCAGGTAAGGCCTACTGAGCTATGTAACTCTTTTTCAGAAGCGACCTGGCCACAAATGACAGCTCAACGAAGCGGCTTATCGTCACGTGGAAATTTAAAGCAGCCAAATGCTCTAAATTCCATGTTTCTAAATGCCGACAGAAAAACCGGAGGACTTGGGAGAAGAATCCACACGACCACGCAAACTCCAAATATACAGCAGGCATCAGGGTCGGGATCGAACCCACGACCTCCTGTATCCCAGGCGAGGTAGTTAACATCTCCTAGCCACCGTGGCACCCCTACTGCGTAGCAGCTGGAGGATTCCGTCACAGGGTAAGAAAGCGTTGGGCGACGAGGGTCGTGCGGCATCCACGGTTTAGACCGCGACACCATGCGGGGCGATTCGGTCAGAGGCAGCGTTCAACGCGCGCTGCCGCCGGCCCCCCTCTCCTCCCGTACCAGCTGCAGGTCGCTGTCGCACAGGTTGCGGATGAGCGCCTTGAGCTCGTCGACCGCGGCGTGCAGCCCCTCGGGGGTGGCCTCGCTGCCGGTGCTCTCCGCTACCGAGACGTCCGTCTCCACGCCCGAGTCGACCGCGTCGCTCGCCGGCCATCGCTCGCTCTCCGCCCACGCCGCTACGTCGCTGCCCGTCCAGCGCTCGGGCGCCGCTCGCCCCGCGGCCGCCACCTCGCCGCTCGCTTTCCTATCCAGCTTGAGCCTCGGGTCGCCCCCCTTGAGCTGCTCGCACAGGAACTGCAGCTGGCCGTAGACGCTCTGGATGTCCTGCTGGAACTGGGGGGCGGGGGGGGGTGGGGGGCGGAAAAACAATGTCTGGTTTGAGTTGTGTTTCTCAACTCCACTTCCGATTGCAGCTCGTGAGGTTTCTAACAACGTTGGTTGGGGCGTGGAGTGAAACGTCGAACATTGTGCCAGATAGCAGAGTGGTAACAGCCAGAAAAACGCATCGGATAGCTAAGCGGCACGGCCGTGAATAAAGTAAGTGCTTGTATTATCGGTTTTTTTTGTTCCTCTTTACAAATCGCAATGCAAACAGTTTTCAATTAAAAAGCAGGTGATTAGTGAACACTTTAAGTTTCAAGCATGCACAAAGATAACTGTTATTATAACTGTTTTTGTTAAAAGGACTCGTTTGGATATCACTCGTGCCACTGATGCTAGCTGTGGCTGTGAACTGAACCCTGGACGCCGGATTCAAAGTTAAATGCTCGAGCCACTTAGAAATATATTTTGACATTGATCACACCATAATAATATTTTATATCTTCTGAATATGGAACTGGTAAATTTATGTTTTGTATCGTGTATGTGTGTCAACCTTTTGAGTTCTTTCCAGCACCCTCAAAATACATGGGATACATTTTAATGATTAAGATATATTTTGAAAGGCATGCAATTCACTGCAATTAGAATCGCATCAACATGCAGCGAAACAACATTTTGCCTCTGAAACAACAGCGAAAACTATCGCGCTAGGAACATTGGCAAAATAACAAACTCGGGCTTCGTAAAAAAATTGAAACACGCCACACGCAGTTCACGTTGGTGTGTGCTGGTGAAAGGGATATACTGTGCGATTCATGTTAACGAACCGGAGAGCACATGCACACGGCACAAACCAGCGGCACAAACCAGCGGCACAAACCAGCGGCACAAACCGTGCGACAGCGTGCGGGCCTACCCCCAGCAGCAGACAGAGCTCGGAGAGTTCGTGCCTCGAGCACAGCCAACGCACGGGCTGCACAACAATCGCGGCCCGTGGTGAACGCAATCACATACACAGCGCACGCACGCACGCACGACAAGCTGAATGCCAAACGCACCGTCCCTCTCCGACAAAAGGTCTACACGGTGGAGTTGGAGCTCGATATAAGGGCACCTTATATAAGCACACCACTTCTTAGATTTCCAATAGTAATGGCGTGACTGATGAATCACAGGGCTGCGGCTTTACCTTTTGTTTTTTGCTTGAGCGCGGTTTAGCAACACATCCTTGATGCAAGCAACACATCCTTGTATTTCACTTGAGTGAGGAAATCAAAGGGCAACTTTTGATACAAGCACACTGCTGTGGTATAAGCAAGCTGGCCTTGCTCCCAGGTGGTGTGCTTATATACAGATTCTACCATCTTTATGAAAGACGTATTGGATTTCAAGCTTCTGTTGGGGCTAACACAAAGAACTGGAATTCTCTCACAACATTTTTCCACCCCCCTGGGCCAAACAGGGAGTCGGAACAATTTATGGAACATATCTATGTCACCAAACTGCTGGTGCCGGTCGAACTACTTTCTGCTTTTGCGCAGAACTATTACTCAACTCAATTCTCCCAAAAGTACCACAGCCACGGAAGATAATAATAGGCCGCGACAGTGGGTGCTTTTGACTGGGTTGTTTCCTAACCTGCAGCAATGAATGAATTACTGACTGACCGGCTTTCACCAGAGAATTTATGTGGTGCCGTTTGACATAACCAACTCCCTCTCACATTCCACGCTCGCACTCCCTGCTGAATGCTTTTAAACAACGCAGTAAAAAAATCCTTTCCCAAAAAATAAATTTGTTTTTATTTTAATGTACTCGGACACCTTAAGAAGAAGGTCGGTACCAATAATGGTCCACATTGTAAAAACAACAGCCTTATATCTGAACGTTAAAAAAAATATTTCTTGCTCAAATGAGCATTGAGGCGGTGCTCATCTCAGTGACTTACCACCTTGAGCCAGTGGTGGAAATTCGACATTACAATGACGGGGAAAAATCTCTTCATAGGCCAACCCACTGGTTGACTTTCTGACCAAAATTGTACTCATTTTTCTGACACCAAAATAATTTGAACTCGCAAGCTTCCGATTACGAGGTGCTTGCTCTACCGCTGAGCCAGTGTGGAGTTGTTAAATTCCATTTTCCCCAGCATGTGTTCCAATAAAACTGTTGGTCAATCTAATGCTCACCCCATATCCATCCATCATGCAATGGCCTGTTTGTTAGTTACGTAAGATTATTTTGTGAAAATAATTTGAGTAAGTTAATTTTGTATAATTAACGTATTAGGACTAGATTAGTAGTAAACAAATAATGGATAATTTGGAATATATCACTTTAAAAGTATTAATGGTATTGTGCAAAGTAAAACATATTCAGCAACAAGAAAAAAATCATTGTTGATTTAAATTCGTAAGACATGCCACTTTCTGAGCTTTCGTCGTTTTGAAGAGTTGCAAGTACTGTACCTCAATGAAATATCTTTTTACTGGAAAAATTGAGACCTCACACATTTTCCGGAACACTAAGGTAAAACTTTTAAAAAGTAGAACGATGAATCATTTTCCATGCCATTTACCGGCCCCTTTACAATGAAACACACAAGGAGTCGGTGCCATGGTGTCAATATTGGCCTCTGCGGAGTGGACTTGTGAACGACGATGCTACTGGGCTTTTCGAGACAGCCGCCGCCCCACCCGCCCCCCCCTCAATCTCCATCAGTAACAGAAGGCGGAGCAGAGACGCTCACAACAACGTTGCAGCGTCTTCAGTAACCGAATCGAGAGGTTCACTTCCTCCCTCAACTCCATCGCGCTGCAAGCTGCCGCCAACAATTTAGTTTCTGAAGAAGCTCCCACAGCAAGCGGAGTGCAAACGTCGGACATTTGACGTGCCCAACAACCGCGGAAACCTACATAGCGGTGGTGTTGACCTGACCCATCCACAGCCCAGCCAGCCAAGCCGCCTGACGCGCTCGCCCATCCAGTACCTGTTCCCTCTCCATGCTGTGCTCGATCTCCGAGAGTAGGGACATGTTGTTGACGTCCCCACCCTGGTCCCTCTCGGACACGCTCCCTCTCCTGCGTGCAGGACACCGGGGCGAGTCGCTGGTTTCCCGGCGCTCCGCCTGCAGCTGGGACAGCTGGGGGAGAAGGGGAGTCCACGGGGGCAGGCGTGAGAGCGCCAGCCGCCACCGCACGCCGCGCCGCACACACGCGGAAAGACTATCGGCACGCGACCCCATAAAGAAGGGCACCTAAAGGATTGCACGCGGAACACCGGCCCCGAGGCAGCGGTGAGCCACGGGAGTGGGCGTGTGACAATTCGCCGATTAAAAACGATGCTTACGCCGATGGCGCGTTTACAGAATCGTGCCATCAGGTCACTTGCAAATGTATATATCTAGAATTTATTTCGCAACCTACATGGCCAACCGCGGTAATCGGAGGGGAGGGCAATGACACGTCTCCTGGTCTCTTCGAGTTCTCAGCTGGTTAAACAACTAAACCCGACTTTCACCTGATGTGCGTAAGAATCGGTTATTTACGATTTAACCACTAAACAGCCGTACAGATTAGCACAAAAGCTAACAGACCAAACGAGACACAACATAGACGCTAGAAGGCAATACAAACTATGTGACAGAATTGCTTCATGACAATACATCAAATGGTGATGGGGCGAATAGTTACACATGACAACTATGATGTGTCACACAGAGAGTGGAGACGTTGTGTTTATGCAAGTTGAGTGGGGGGTGCACTGTGGCACGGGTACAGCAACTTTCTCGAAGCTTCTACAAAGCTTCAATAAGGCGGAAAATAGTGCAGGGAGGTGAAAAGTATTATTATCAGGTGTTTATTCATTTGTTAATTGTTGATGTAATTGTTTAATACAATTATTTGTTTCGAACATTTACCTCTGTTATATGCAGGGCAAAAACTAAACAATAACACTCGGATTAAAGGCAATCGTGTTGATATGGGAATTGTGCCATTCATATAGCACCAGGCGATCACGAAAGCACTACGCTTTACAGACGGGTATAGTCTGCGGTAGTTTGACAGTAGACGTTGCTACGTGGCCTTGCCTAGTTAGGTAAATTGCGAGCAATCTTCAAATGTGGAAGTGTTGAACCGAGGCACCAGCACGCTTGGAATGCTTGGCATGCTAATCACGTCACAGGGCCTTCAACGTGCATCGTGAAGCAGACGGCGCATAGCACTCTATGGCCATGTCACCCGCGGTAATAACCAGGGCGGCCCAGAGACCCTCGGGCCCACGAACCTCCGTAACAGGTGGCAGATGGGCGTCACGGTGGCGAGATGTTAACTACCTGGCCTGGTATTCAGGAGGATCATGGGTTCGATCCCGACCCTGATGCCTGTATATTTGGAGTTTGCATGTCTCTCCCCGTGGTCACATGGATTTTTCTCCAGGTCCTCCGGTTTTTCACTCCACGTTCAGAATCAACATCACGCGTTTTGATTATTTTGCTGCTATAAATTTCCACGTGATGGTAAGCCACTTCGTTGGGCTATCATTTGTGGCCAGGTCGCTTCCAAAAAAAAGAGCTATGTAGCTCAGTGGGCCTTACCTTGTTAAATAAATAAAAAAAGTAGTTGAGTTTCAGTTTAGACACGCTAACCACTTGGTGGGGGGGAGGGGAAGGGGCGCTAGCGGCCACCTCACCTGCACCTGCGCTCCGTGAGCCTGTCGCTCGAGCATGGCCGAGCGGGCGAGCGCCTCGTCCAGCTCTCCCTGCGTGGCGGCGTTCTCCTCCTGCAGGGCAGACACCCTGCACTCCAGCTCACGCCGCCGCTCCAGAAGCACTCGCAGCTGGACACGGAGTTGGGGTCGGGGGTGAGGGGGGGGGTGGCGGAGGGGCAGGTGAAGCGACGGGGGTGGAGGGGGGGGAGAATGGTGGACATGGGCCATGCGGAGCGAGAGGTACGGTGGGGGTGGGAGGGGGGTGGACGGTGAGTGAACGAGGAGGGGGTTATTGTGTGGAGGGAGCGATAGAGCTCGTGTGCGACGTCAAGCGGAACTATTCCCGTTTGCGGGTCGAGGATTCGCACGGCGTAGAGTTGTGCCAGCACCGGGCAATGTGGCTCACTCAAAGCCATTGTTGAAATTCTCAAAGATTCTTTGACGGAGGGAGGAGGGGGCCGTCATCAATAATGGAAGGCTTACGATCGATTGTCCAAATACCAATCGGTTTTGCAAGATTCTTATTCGAGAGCACAGTGACATGAAGATTTGTTCTCCCATTTAACTACTATTCAAGTATTCAATATCTCACTTAATGGCGAATCCTCTCAGTCTAGCAGACATAATCGAGAACAATTGTGGACCGATTAATGAATCGTGACAGTTTATCAATGCACAGCGCATTGGGATCTATTGGTGAAATACACCTTACAAATGTAAATAATTATTAAATACAAAACAACAAAGGTCTATAGCTTTTCTTGCGACTAATTCTGGTAAAGGGCTGTTGTGCACCGATACATTTCATTAGCCATTTGTTGCAAGAAACGTGTACTCTTACAGACTATCTACGTCAACGCGCATAAGCAGGTAACAATGAGGACGAGGCACCGACCAACAGAAAACTTGGGCCACAGTCTGGGCACAGAGAATTATTTTTGCAAGGCAGGAATATTGGGCCAAACCCAAAAGTGGGTCAGCAGCTTTGTCGGCAGATATTCATCCACGATTTTGGCTTCAACTTGAAAAACACTGGCACGAGGATGACCTCCGAGCCAAGGCGGAGACTCCAGGTTATGATGGAAATTACATGCAATTGATAACAGATGTCACAGTACTTTTGTTTGCGTGTGCAATCACAGCCAAAGCAATTCTAGCACATGCAATTTCAGCATATAGAATATTAATGGTATTATATGGGCTAAAGTTGGAGACCACATATTTGAAAAACGTGCCTTCGTTGAGGCGTAAGTGCGCATGCTTATAACACGGGTTTATGCGGAGCTTGCTGTGAGTTTTCAGTCTCGTGATACGCAAGGCCCATCTTGAGCTGTGAGGACAGCACGAGGGAGCAGGCGTGTGCATCGCAGTGTTGGCACGTCGGCACAGCAGGCAGCACAGGCGTTGCATCTTGACAGTCATCTCAGTCGTTTAATCTATAACATCTGACCCGCCCATACTGGACATCTGTGAAAAAGAGCTTCATAGCTCATTGGATTCCTCCACTTTAAATAAAGATTTTGATTCTGTCCCGTGACACCCCTGCCAACGGCGAGCCTTCCACATATCACGCGATATCCTGCAAGTGCACATGGCCTGGCACAAGTGCTGTGGTGACATCACCTTCAGTTAGTGGTGAATGGCGACTGCTGTTGTGTGTGTGTGCGTACGTGTGTGTGTGTGTGCCTTGGGGCATGGTGGTGTAGCGGTTAGAGCGCTGCACTACGAACTCGGCGACCCGAGGTCAATTCCCGCTCACGGCCAACACCAGCGACGATTATCTGAACTCGTCCTGGTCCTCCCCCTAGGGCGACTCAGCCTCAAATGAGTACCTGGTGCGGTGTGTAAACATCGCCATTAGGGAGACAAAAGCGGCCGGGCGTGGTGCTGGCCATCCACCCCCTCGTGTGCCGTGCCAGCCTTCATAGGTGGTTACTCGCGAACAGCATTTGCCCCAGCAGTCTGTTCAAGTGATACGGCAGGGGGGGGTCTTCGTCTTTGTGTGTGTGCCCGTCCTCACCTCTGAATGTAGGGACGTCTCTTTGAGCGCGTGCACCCCGGCGGCGCGGGTCCTCTCGCGGAATTCCTCCCGTAGTTTGGTCAGCTCAGCCGACAGCCGCGTTTCTGTTTCTCCCGCCTGGCGAACACACACGCGGGCACACCTCGATGAACCGCCGCCGCACTGCGATGCCAAAAACACAACCCTTTTTTTAATTGATCATTCGCCAGGTAAGGCCCACTGAGCGCCACAGCTTGTTTTTCAGGAGCGACCTGGTCAATGAAGGGGCCTTATCGCGTGGAAGTTTACAGCAGCCAAATACTCGAAATGCACGTTTCTAAAAGTGGAGGGGGAAAACCGGAGGACCCGGAGAAAAATCCACGCAACCACTGGGAGAACGTGTAAACTCAAAATATGCAGGCATCAGGGTCGGGATCGAATCCACGACCTCCTGTATACCAGGCGAGGTAGTTAACATCTCGCCACTGAGGCACCACGTTTTTACGATTCCTTCCTCGCACTGCTCAATTTTGGAATTCCCTCCCATCGTCTATTCCCCCCCCAAAACCCTCCCCCCCCCCCATGGGTTAACAGGTCCCTGCAGGGTGGGCTGGTAGGAACATTGGAATGTTGCGCAATTTTATTTTTCACCCCAACAGCACGAGATTTCACTTCAGTATTGAAAGGGGACGGACGGACAGACGGACGGACACATTAATCTATTGCAGGCTGGTACACTCAGTTTACAACTTCGTTCCTACCAGTATTATAACATTTCTCAATTCACACGAAACGTGTTCATTCTGATAATCTACTTGTGTTGTATACCGCGCAGCTGAAAACCGTGCCTTTTTAGGCACCTCCGATTAGCACGGTTGGTTACGTACGGTGCAAAAGAAGTTCAACGTATACATGAACAGATACTACAACTTTCAGGTCTCTTTGTTTGCTCAGCTTACTCGGTGGTTTGGGCCTTTAATAGCCTGTCCTCGGCAACTGTGCTTAAACAAAAGAACCCTTAGTGCAAAAAAAAAAATAGCTCTAACTTTGCTTTAAGGCGCAAAGGCAACCGTGGACCCTGGCCTCCAGAAACGAGCATCTCGTTATCAGTTACACCTCTAGCGGCGCCGTTGGGCCCACTCTACTCGTGGACTGCAGATGGCTCCGGTGGTTGTGTTGCAATAGCTCTCCGATTGCAGTTCGTGCAGAAGCTTCTAAGCGCGTCGAGCGGAACGTCGGACAACATGCCGAACAACTCGCGGCACATTCCCAAACACACGACGGATCGTGCCGCCTGTTGCTGGACTCTTCGCGTTCTGGGCCTGTGGTCACCAACCATTATAAATAAAATATATATATGTATAAAATAAACAAAAAATATTACGTCTTTTTTTTCTCTCTTTTTGGGACGTCATTTTACATTCAGTTATGAAGTACCGTACCGTGTACCCTTTACATTTTGTTACGCATTAAAATATTCTCATAAAGGCGCAAAAAAGCAGAAGCTGAAGGAGGCAAATTGCGAGAATTAACGGCGATGATTATCTGGCATGCATGGAATCTGCAACGTTCAGCAATGCCCACGAGATTGGTGCAAAGATTGACCACATCACAACAGTGGGATGCTTAGCAACGACCCTTACAGACCACTCTTGAGATGTTCTTACATACATTGAATTTCCCTGCCTCGTGCATTCATTTTTTTTTATACCAAACAATAATACACACAATTACACAAGCACAGCCAACACATAAAAGCACGATGAACACGTGGTTTTCATGATCAAAAAGCAGATGCTAAGAGCTTCGTCGTGCAATTTAACGGACAGTTGCTCACGAGTGCACCAATCGCGAAGAGCGACGTTGGTTTTCAGTTTATTGGTACAACTGAAGTGGGCCAGGACGCATCAAGCTGACACGACGGACACAATGAGAATGTCGTTATGAGTTTGTGTCTCTCTTACTCCACGGCCGACAGAAACAACTAATCGGAGTCAAGCACGTACTTTTATCTCTCCGACGTGCTCTGGGGTTTGTGCCGCGGCTTGTTGGCGTTGACCTGAACGGAGTTCTACAGCACAACCACAAAAACACAAACCCCTATGCTAGCACATTGATTTTGCCCGAAATCAACGGTATTTCGTTAACGGGTAAAGTTGGCAAGAATTTTATTTCAACATGCGTGAAAGTTGGAACGTATCGATGAACGGACAGTGATAAGTTCGTGTTCACCCAACGGGCCTTCATCGATAGTCTCTCTCTCTACACCCAATACAAATGAACTTCCAATAAATATATTTAGTTTAAACGGTGCTAGGGTTGTGTACATTGTTCAAACCGTACCAACACCCCAACGCATTCCCTGGGAGTTTCCGCAGCGAGCATTTCACCGACAGACTCGAGACGAAATGAATTCACCCGCAAATGACAGGAAAATATAAAAAAAACACACACACACGAACCGCCGCAGTGCCCCTGTCAGCGGAGATTTGTCATTCCACAAGAGCCACCCCTCTTAAGGGCGCCTCTCGCCTCCTCCGGTTTCCCATTTTTTTTGCGCAGCGCTCGCGTTAATTAACCACTCGGCGTGGAGTTTCGGCCGAGTCACGCTTCATTTGCCTGCCGGCGACACAATTAAGCGCCGCAGTCTGTGAGCGGCCAACGCAGGGCAGGGGCGGCGGCAATCAGAGGCGGGCATCGGGCAAAGGGTTCCCACGTGAATTTGCTCATTTAGCGGACGAACTGTGCCATTCTAGCTCACCGCACTAAATCGCGGGCCAGTTTAATGCCGCGCCCAACGTACTTTGCCGATTTTTTTTTCTCTCACGTAATAATAGCGGCGGGGGGGAGGGGGGTAGGTTTGTGGTTCTGTGGTTAGGAAAGTTGTTTTTTTGCTGGAAATTAAAGTTGTTGCTGCTGTTGTTTTCTTGCTGGGTTAGTAAGCCATGCGCGTGGCCAGGAGGGAAAGCGTTGTTAGGAATTTTCCGGTCAGTGATCCATGCGACTCCTTTCCCTCACGCCATCATGAAAATGTTGCCTTGGAAATGTGATTAAATTATTACACATTCCTCAAATTGTCTCTCTTGGCCTAAAAAGTTGTGCAAGAAAATTATTGGTGTCCAGAAATAATTTTATGCCATTGTTGTGAGAAAAAAAAAATTAGTTTAAAAGTACAGCTTTTGAGAACAGTTGGCATCAGCCTTGCTTGCCAAAGAGTTCAAAACTACAACTACAAAGATTCTACATCCACCCCAGAATGGTAAAACAATCATTATGATCTACTCTTGAATTTAATCGTGACATTCGAATCAAGGGTGTGTTTCGGTACACGCCTTCTCTTGGCGAACACCTACAGTGCAGTACATCTATTTTTAGAGTCTCAAAGTGGAAGAAAAAGCCAATCACTCGTGCTACCTTTTCCTCTAAAACATTACTCTGTGTAATAAGTCGCGGTCGTGTTTTACGCTTTGAAAATACAGACCCACAGTTTCATTCAAACTTAAGCTTTAGGAGACCACACTTCTGAACGCTGCTTCACAACACTGGGTAAGACAATAAAACCTAAATAAGGTCCAAGTATTGTACCCGTGTTTATTGGCCCAATGAAAGTCACACCCATCGACGTTACGTCAATGGGCAGGTTCAATGGGCAGGTACAATGGTTGGCTATCTGATGGTAGATAATACGTAATGTCATTTTACAAGCAAAGAGCTGTAAACTATACTAATAGCGAGCCATATTTCCACTGATATATATACAGTGTTTGGTATATATTATGTATATGGCTCGATTCTTCACTACGTACCCAGACCTGACACGTCTCCTGCAATTGGAGTGCCGTCTCAGGCATTATAATCTGTAATTTTTATCAAGCGACATTGAGGTTCCTTCCGTTCCCCTCTAAATATCTCACTGGCCTCTCACTCCACCACTGGCCAATCTCACGCGTTACCCACTATCAGGCTTGAGAAGTGTGCCTACCAGAGTTTGCCTGGTAACGGGAAATTCCTCTCATCCGTGCTGATACGGGCAAAGAGCACGGGCACTATGGGTGGGCATTATCCGCTTGTATCAGGAAGAAGCATGGGCAAATGCGGATAATAGGATACATTTTCTGACACACTGCAATGTTATTCCTCTTGTCCGTGCAAAGTGCAGATTATACGGCGAGAGACATTTACACGCGTATAGTAAAAAGGTTAATGCATCGATCCGGTGATGTGGTTGATAGGAACTGCAGGTAATAGAAGGGCTGATAGAAGCAGTTTCCAAAGAAATGTTACTTGCAAGGCCTCGCATATATTAAATTAAACAAGTTCAGCCCTTTGTCAATCCACTGCTGGATGGAGGTCTCCCTGACAACGTCTTCTGTGGGATAGGTATGATGCCCAGAGCCTCGGCAGATATCACTCGCCACCAATGTTAGCCACGGCCAGGAATGAAAGCTTCAGGTCACCGAGTGTGGCACCCACTGCTCCATTACCCCATCTGCTAATTAAAAAGGCGTAAGATACACTGTGAATCACTGTGGCTTAAAGAGCACTTGCATAATTACAAAAAGAAATCGCCGCGATGGTCAATAACGCTGCCCTAAAAAAGGACAAAATACACAACAGGCAACGTTTCGGTCAGTGGGCCTTCTTCATCGCACATGTGCTTGAAGAAAGGCCATGAAGAAAGGGCCATTACAGAAACGTAGAAGATTGTGTATACAGTATATTGATTTTTTACAACCATATTAGTGATGAATGTGTTAATTTTTAAAAATGTGTGCACCACTACCAATGCAGCCTAATTATAATTAGCTGAGCAGTGAAATAGTTGTTGGGAAATCATGCAACATGCTTAAACAAACCTTGGGCATGCATGCGTGCATGTTTGGACAAGTGTGTCTGAGTACCAACAAGTACACACTTGCCCAGGCACATAAACGTCCGCAGCCTCACCCACTACAGCCCAAACACAAACAATTTTGAACTTTGCTCAATGCCAGTCATCTAGTGATGTATCGACAACAAAATTCAGCTATTTTCCCTTTGGTAAGATAAACAAAAAATGGTTAATACTCTCTCCAAAGTAATAAAAAAATACTACCGAGTCTTACCGCATATATTTTCACAGCCATTATTACGACGGC